GCTGTAGTGCAGTGGCTCGATCTCGGCTCACTGCAATCGCTGCCTCCTGGGTTCGAGCAATTCTCCTGCCTCAGCCTCCCGAGTAGCTGGGACTACAGGTATGCACTGCCACGCCCAGCTAATTTTTTTGCATTTTTAATAGAGTCTGGGTTTCACCAAGTTGGCCCAGACGGTCTTGATCTCCTGATCTCATGATGATTGCCCACCTCAGCCTTCCAAAGTGCTGGGATTACAGACGTAAGCCACTGAACCTGGCCGGTTTTTGCATTTTTAAAGGACTATGAAAGAAACAGAAAAGAAACAAAGAGAAATATGCAACAGAGATCATATGTGGCCCACAAAGCCTAAAATATTTACTACCTGACCTTTCCAAAAAAAGATTTGAGAAAGTTGGTTTAGTAGGACGAAATGAATTAAAGTTAACTTCACATTGTTGCCTGAAAGAGAAGAAAATATAGACTACCTACATTCATTTGAACTTCATCAATCCAGAATTTTTTGGTAATTTAATTTGAATTAAATTAGCATTTAAATACTAAAAAATCAGCTGAATTATATAAATAATATTATCCAGAATATTAAGCGACCAAGAGAATAGACTGGTATTAAGGATTTCATTTTAGGAATGGTTATATTAAAATAGATGTTTAAAATGATGGTCAAGTGGTATAACTACAAATGTTTACACTAAGTGAGTGTGTCAGAAATGCCCCTAAGTCTTCAATAATTACAAAATAACTATCTCCTCAAACCTGTTTCCAAGGGAGGGATAACTGCACAGTATTTCTGTCTGTTTAGAGATAAGAAGATACTATGTTCATTGCGATGAAAGCTTGATTCTTATCCTCTGTCCATGGTCCAGAGGTGTGCATATCATTAATCCTTATTAAGCTCATTGGTGATGCTCTTTTGCAAACAGATTCTTTCAAATGCAGAAGGCTTAAGGAAAGTGGGTATAAAGACCCTCAAATGGATGCCAAAGTGCTACAGAGGCCACAAAGTAATAAAACAACATTTCCTTTAAAATAGTCATTTTCCTTCTATGCACTACTCACTCCCCCAGCTATCCATTTTTTTGCAAATATTTGAGTTTGCTTTATTTCCATGTGTCAGTTTTAAACATGGTGGGCAATGCAGATGAGCAAGACCTAGTCCATGCTTTCAAGGAGTTTATGCTTGGAAGAAACGGGATGAAAAATAACTACATTTAAAAAGAAGAAATAAATGTGGGCACTAGGAGGGATAAATTTTTTCTGGAGCATAGAAGAGGGGGAAAATGACTTCAATTTGGCCCCAGGAAGGTGTCGCTAGAACAATGCCATTTGAATAGGACTTTGAAGGACCATTGTGTAACATTGGACAAACATCTTGGGGAAAATATTCTAAACTTGCAAAAGGAGAATGGGAGAAGGCCAAAACACAGGAGTGTATTTGAGGAATGCCATGAGTACCTGTAGAGTACAAGGAGGGAGAGTAGGAAATTGGAGCCAGGTCTTCTAGGGCTTTGAATGCCAGGCTCAGGAGCCATCGTGGGGAACCGTGTTATCACAGCAGTGCTGTAAGATAAATCTGCCTCACAATCACTGGGAGGGCACGTTAGAACTCAGTTCTGGACTCCACCCTCATAATTACTGATTCAGTTTGTCTAGAGTGGGATCAAGAATTTGCATCTTCAATAATTTCCCAGGAGATGCTGGTCTTTGCAAGCCACTTCTGGAGAGTTTATATGATGACTGTGTATAGGGTAGTTTAGGAAGGGAGAGACCAGAGATGGAGACATCAGCCAGACAACATTACACCATCCAAGTAAAGAGGGAGGGACAAGCTGACAAGTGGAATCAATAAAAATAAGAGAGCCAACTGTCGTCAAGAATGGGTGTTGACTATACTGGTTTTTATTCAAAAAGTGAAAATCCAGTTCCATGTTGTTTTTGTTGTCCCATCACTATATAACTGAAGAAATTGCTTTCATGAAATATTAAAGCAATATAAAGCCAAAAATGAATTTCTATTAATATGATAGAAATTCTGTTAATATGATTTGAATTAGTTCAAAGTTATGTGTTAAAGGGTTGACTTCCTTCCAAATGATGTGAAAGGATGTCTTTTATTTCTTCTGATATTGAACTGGCTTAGGAAAACAGACCTAAACTAGGAAGGTATATAAATGTGAGACTATTCCTTTTAATATTGGAAACTATATGTAGAGATAAAAACTTTGAGCTCGTAATCTGGGATTTGATGAGACTACAAAAGGGCATCTAATCAAGTCTACTGCTCTCAGGAATAATTTATCCCAAAGTCTATCAAGATCTATAGTTGTATATTTTATTTATTAAGACCATGAAGGTAAGACTCCAGGAGAGGTACAGGCAGGGTTAGGAGCTCTGGACAGTTTAAATACACGTCCAAACGTTTAGAGCTTAGATGAAAACTGTGTATTCAATACTATTCTAAACTCTTGCTATTTATTCATACTAATTTGACATCTAATAACTAATCAAGGCAATATTTTCCTTTTACTTTTCCTAGAGATTTATCCTGCAATAAAATACAGTCTATTGAAAGACATACATTTGAATCACTACCATTTTTACAGTCTATGTAAGTTACAAATAAAACTTGATTATATTTGGAATTTTTATAAAACTTAATTATAAACCTCTTTGCTATTCATTTTGAAATATGATTAAAATTTTACCAGTAGAAAGTTAACTAAAATTATATAGCAAATCCTTTTTGTCTCTAGCAAAGATTAGTGTGAACATTATTACACAGATCATAGTGAATTATCAGAGAGCAGTGGTTCTCAACTGGTATGATTTTTGTACTCGGGTGACATTTGGCAATGTCCAGAGACAGTTTTGGTTGACAAAACTGTGGGTGTGCTCCTGGCATCTGGTGGGCAGAGGCCAGAGATGCTGCTAAATATCCTCCAGGGTACAAGACAAACCCCCACAGCAAAGAATTTTGTTTTCTTTTTTTTGAGACAGAGTCTCGCTTTGTCGCCCAGGCTGGAATACAGTGGCGCGCTCTCAGTTCACCGCAGCCTCTACCTCCCGGGTTCAAGCAATTCTCCTGCCTCAGCCTACCAAGTAGCTGGGATTATAGGTACCCACCACCACGCCCAGCTAATTTTTTGTATGTTTAGTAGAGATGGGGTTTCACCATGTTGGTCAAGCTGGTCTCAAACTCCTCACCTCATGATCCGCCCGCCTTGGCCTCCCAAAGTTCTGGGATTAAGGCTTGAGCCACTGAGCCTGGTGGCAAAGAGTCATAGAGACCAAAATGTCGATGGCACTGAAGTTGTGAAATCCTGTTCCAGAGAAATAACGATCACTAAACACAAGTATTTACTGAGCATTCACTGTTTTGTATCTAATGTACCACATGTGCAATGTTAAAGTATAAATCATAAGCTAGTATCGTCCACAGTGAGATTTCCTTAGTGCACAGAGAAAGGATTGAGGTTATGTTCCATCCTATATAAATTAGAATCATGGCAAATGATAAATGTTCTGAAATAATTTTTTTTTTCCTTTGGCTTGTGTCTTTTTTTGTAGAAATCTTGGTTGCAATTTACTCACAGAACTGAGCTTTGGAACATTTCAGGCCTGGCATGGAATGCAGTTTTTACACAATTTGTAAGTGAAATACAAAATGAATACGTGTAAACAACTATTTACATGTGAAAACCTCATACAATTATTGGTTAGCTGGGTATAAGCCCATTACGAACTCTGAAAAGTATGTCTTAAGATCCATTCATTTTTCTCAAATGGGGAAACTAAAGTACAAAGGCCAACAGACTTACATAGCTTATATATGACTTGCTCTGCTTTTCCTAGCTCTGACCTTTGGCATGGGCAAGAAAAGGCATCAAAAAAATGACCCTCAAATTAGCCTTGTTGACAGGCGTGGTGGCTCCCTGGAGGACATTGTGTTAAGCTTCCTTCCTTGTAGCTAAATGTTGCAGACATTTAAGCAGTTAGAAACTGTGCATGTGAGCAGGAATCAAAGTTAAATCCAAAGTGTAGGGCCAGGTATGGTGGCTGACACCTGTAATCCCAGCACTTGGGGAGGCCGAGGCGGCTGGATCACCTGAGGTCACAGGAGTTTGAGACCAGCCTGACCAACATGACAAAACCTGTCTCTACTAAAAAGACAAAAATTAGCAGGATGTAGTGGTATGTTCCTGTGATCCCAGCTACTCGGGAGGCTGAGGCATGAGAATGGCTTGAACCCAGCAGTCGGAAATTGCAGTGAGCCGAGATTGTGCCACTGTCCTCCAACCTCCACCAGGCTAGTCTTGAACTCCTGTGACCTCAGGTGATCCGCCCCCCTCAGCCTCCCAAAGTGTTGGGATTACAGGTGTGAGCCACCACACCCAGCCAAGATGGTATTTATGTTAATTTATGGTGCAAAAAACAATTTGTAAAGAAAATACATCACCATAGCTTAATTCCATATACTTTCCTGACTACTCTTTGACCATAAATACAAATTTTATTCCCTTGCAGCTCAAAAATTCTGTGATTTCTCTGTATAACATAACCGGCAAATCAGAGTGGGTATGTTCAATGCCCTGAAGGGGGCTTTAGACTCAAGGTGAAGATTCTCCTTTACATCTGACTTTAGAAAGAACTTTCCACCTCTCTTGTATTTCAGAAATCTAGTTTCACACAGTTCATTTTGAGGTAGAGGGAGGTGTTCAGGAAGTGTCTTGACTAGAGCAACAGTTTCTGCAGATGCTCCTCTCTGTCCTCCTTAATTTGCTGATGCCTAACTTAGGAAAAAGACACTGAGGGTCTGTTTTTCTTTTGCCCTCACATCGGAGAACAGGCTCATTAGGTCCCTCCACCAAGAGGTGTAGATAGCATTAATAAAATGTCTTAAACTCACCACTGTTACTAAGCACTTTATAACACTGGGAGTCCCTCATAAGAATCTGGTGGCTGGGAGCAGTGGCTCACGCCTGTAATCCCAGCACTTTGGTAGGCTGAGGTGGGTGGATCGCCTGAGGTCAGGAGTTCAAGACCAGCCTGACCAACATGGTTAAACCCCATCTCTACTAAAAGTACAAAATTAGCTGGGTGTGGCGGCAGGTGCCTGTAATCCCAGCTACTCAGGAGGCTAAGGCAGGAGAATCACTTGAACCCAGGAGGCAGAAGTTGCAGTGAGCCGAGATCATGCCATCGCACTCCAGCCTGGGCAACAGGGTTCGACTCGGTCTCAAAAAAAATAATAATCTGGCCAGCTTCACTACAATTACGTAGGCAACACCGAGAAAACGCTGGAATCACAGCTGATTAAAATGAATGAATTCACTCAAAAACATTCACTCAGTGCCATGTCCATTTGTGCCAGGTACTGTACTGAGTCCTGGGGGTACAAAATCCATCTCAAAGACACACCAAGATGGGGACTTTCATACCTCAAAGAGGAAGCAGATGCTGTTGGGAAAACATAGGAGAGCCATGCTGGGATCTGTACAGCAGGGTGACAAGGGGAGGACAAAGTAGGAATGGGTGGTGGGTTAAGGAAGACTCGAGGAGACAGCACCTGGCTTATCTCTAGTTTCTGTGTTCATCTTAAACAACAGAAAAAGGCATTTGCTTCATGGTGATGAGAAAAATCAGAGCTAGCTGATATTGGAAATTACTACTCATTTCATATAAACAGAATAGGGCTGTAACCCTTCAAACCTAAGTCACAGTTACTTTCAAAGATTGACACAACGGTCTCAACACAGCAAGTGTATGTTGGGGGCTGGGCTCTTTTGTTTGGAGTCAAATTTTTCTAGTACACAAAGCTACACTGCAGAGTCATATTTGGTATATGTGACATATATCCCCATTGCATTTTGTTCCAAAGGCAAATTGCCAAGTAGCTTTATGACCAATATGGCACCATTCTGTGGTGTTTTTAAGTTGAAAGAATGTATTTTCCTGCATTACATAAGTTCGAAGAAAAAAAAGAGGTCCCAGCTGTGGTGGATTGATGGTGAATTGAAAAGAGCCTAAGCTTCAGGATTTCTCACTTGCACAGGCCCCTTCCAAGGTTCTGGGAGGGCGCCTGGCAAATTTTGTATTCATGATTTTTTATGTTTTCATTAGATAAGGTTCAGACCCCACAAAATTCTGAAATTGCCCCTGGGTTCCAAAAGTTACAACCCAGTAATTTCTTGAATGAAGCATCTATGTTACTGACAAATACTGACTGGCCAAGTTAGTGTGGTAGGATCAGTCTATTTTGAATCTGAAATCCATCTCAAAGGCATACCAAGAGCTTATTAGTGGACTTAACTGGGTTCTGCTGGCCCAAGCGCAGTAAAGCCAAACAGCTATATCAAGGGTTTGTATTGGGGAAAGGAGGGCATTTATTTGCAAGGCATCCAAGCAAGAAGGACCAGGCAGCTATCAAAGTCCCCCTCTGAATGGTAGCAATAATCATATCTCTTACAGATGAAATAATGAATGAAATGGTTTATGGAAAACCAGCAATGGTTGATCATCCTAAATGTTAAGTATGTTTATATTTTTTCCCTGACTTTAAAGTGCTTCTCCTTCATTTTCATACACAGGTCTAGTCTGATGGCTTATCTTTAAAAATTCTTCGTCATTTCATTGGTTCTAACAATACAAACTCCATAATTTTAGAAACTGGATGACTTTGCAATGTAGAAAGACTATGCTTTATTCAGATAGAGCACACTCACATGCTGGCTTGTCTGGGGCACATCAATATCGTGCCAAGAATGTAAGCACAAAGAGAGAATAAGAGGAAAATCCAGGCTTTATCCCACTATTAGAATATCAGTGATGTAGGTGCGGCCACACTGTGATGGCAAATTGAGCTTCAGTCACAAACATGCCTTGTTGTTCCCCCCAGTCTGCTGACATCAGCTTCCTTTACACAGCGGTAGATGCACAAAAGTTTGCACAGTTGAGGGTATTGTCATCACGTTTTGGTATGTACTGGAACAGAGAGGCATAAACATTAAAGACAAAAAGAACAACTCAGGTCTGTCCTTTGGGGTGATTTAGGGTGGCTGTTTATAATGGTTGAAAAGTCTTGAGATTTTCACACCTGGCAACTCTTACACTTTTCTTCTCTCACTGCAGTTTATTCTTCTCCCCTGTGTAACAAGCTGTCTTCTCGCAGAAACTTAGCATTTCTTCCTCTGCCCCATAGCAGTTTTTCAACACTTATATTTATTAGGTGCTGTTTATGTTCTAGACACCTAAGTGCTTATACAAGTGAGATAATATGTCCGAAGTTCTTAGAATAGTGCTTGGCATATGATAAATGTTCACTACATTTTACCTCCTATGAGAGCTCATTTTCATTTTTCCAACAACTCTGTGATGTGGATATTATTATCATTTCTATTTTGCAGATGAGGAAGTTGAAACTCAGAGATGCTGGGTAATTTACTTAGGTTCACACGGCTATTAAGTGGCAGAGCTGCTTACAAGCTTTGCAAGTAATTTTCTATGCAGCTCTTAGTTCCTCTGTAATAGGAGCTGAATGATGACAATTTGGCTTTGTGTGCATCGTATCCTACTTTCTAACTTGAATAGGACCTTTAGAGCAGTGACCTCCATTTCCCTCTGAGAATCCCATGCTTCTGGAGCTCCTGACTGTACCACTTCTGGGCATCCCCAGGGTTTATGCGCACTGGCCAGTGCTGGTGTGACATCATGATGGCTGAGCACCATCAGGTGCTGTGTCCAGCCCACTGCTAGGCGCTATACTCATTTATTCCTCAAACTGCCTTGGGCTGTAAATGCTACCCAGAAAGATTCATGTTTGTTACTCAAGTCACTTCACCAGAAAGTGACAGAGCCAGAATTCAAACCCAGGTCTGCCTGATTCTTGGTTATTCGTCATTGCCAGGGAGTCTTCTTCAAGATTATTCTCAAGAGTTTAAGATACAGGCTCATGGCCAGGTATGGTGGCTCATCCCTGTAATCCCAATACTTTGGGAGGCTGAGGTGGGCAGATCACTCAAGCTCAGGAGTTCAAGACCAGCCTGGCCAACATGGTGAAACCCCATCTCTACTAAAAATACAAAAATTAGCCAGGTGTGGTGACAGATACCCATAATCTCAGCTACTCTGAAGGCTGAGGCAGGAGAATCACTTGAACCTGGGAGGTGGAGGTTGCTGTGAGCCAAGATCATGCCACTGCACTCCAGCCTGGGTAACAGAGTGAGACTCCATCTCAAAAAAAAAAAAAAAAAAAAAAATAGGCTCACCATTTCAGATTCTCTAGACTTTGCCCCTGAAAAAGGGTTTACGTGATACAGTCAGAGGTCTTGTATTGAGGAGCTTGGTATGGAGAGATGTGTTTTCATGGCTTACAGACCTATGTAGATGAATAAAGGAAAGGGGTTGTTTTCTCCCCAAGTACATCACACATATTGGATGAGGGTCTAGGTCATCTTCTTATTTCTTTGACTACCTTCCTCCATGGAACCAGCTTTCCCTGACTGCCTTGGGATTCTAGCATAGATCATTTTGGAGTTTGTCATTTAAATTTATTTTCACGGGCCTGCTTTGGACATTTTTTCAGCTAAAGCTGCTAGGATTTCAGTACATCTAGGACAGTGATGACATGCTCCAGTCCTTTCATCTCTGTCTCCTCAGTTAATAGAAATGAAAGATAACCCATCTGTCTGGACCTATATAGAATAATTTAGAGAGAAAAAAAACAGCCAAGAAATATTCCCTTATTTTGTGAGCTACCTTTTTTCTGTCCCATTGTTCTGTAGCAAAAGGCTGGTACAAAAATATTTGAGATTTTCTCTTCTAATAAGGCATATTTAAAAAAAATATTTGGAGCAATACTTCTTAAACTTTGACTCTGAGACAGTCTTTGAGGCTAAAAGCTTGCCACATTTTATTCCCATAAAGATATCAAAAAGGCAATGGACTGGGAGTCAGTGCACCTTAGTTTAATGTATAAAATGAAGGACTTGAATCAGAAATGGAAATGATCATCTACTGTGCATATAAAAACACTTGAGGCCAGGCTTGGTGGCTAATGCCTGTAATCCCACCACTTTAGGAGGCTGAGACGGGTGGATCGATTGAGTTCCAGGAGTTCAAGATCAGCCTGGGTAACAAAGTGAGACCCCTGATCTCTACAGAAAAACTTTTTAAAAGTAGAAACATAAATATAAATAAATAAAAACATTCATATCATTTGGTTTGTGGAAAAGAGTTGCTATAGAGTCCTCAAAGTTGAGCGGTTGAGTCAGTTCCCACTCAGTCTCTCCATGGTCCAGACACAACCTTAGTCAAGAAAAGAATGCCCTCAAACAGGAGGAATATAGGATAATATTGAGTGACCCTATATTTTGATTTTATTGGGGTCAAATGCAAAGATCCTTATGTCAGTTGGAAAAGAGCTTCCTAATTCAGAGATAAAGCTGAGCTCAAGGCTACGGATGAGCTGTCAAGAGGGAAGAAACGTTGGAGAGTGAGATTATTTTAGAGGAAAGATGACAAACTTTGCTAAGTTAATTTGGCTACCTATTGCTTTACAGTTATTATTATTATTATTATTATTATCATTAATAGAAACAGGTTATCACTATGTTACCCAGGCTGGTCTCAAACTCCTAGGCTCAGGCTATCCTTCTGTTTAGGCCTCCCAAAGTGCTGAGATTACAGGCATAAGCTGCTGTGCCCAGCCTATAGTCATTGTTAATAGCTGGGAGGAAAGTGGGCAGGGGAAGATATAGAAGCAGGGGGTAGCTTACTTGCACAGAGTCCACCAGTGATCTTACAGGTTTTAATGCCAAAAAAAAGCATGAAGGATATTTAAAGCCCTAGTTTGAGAAACCATGCTTAACCAGTCATGTGGCACTCACATTCTTTCTTTCTCTGTGTAGCATTATCTTATTGAATATAAGTGTTACAAAACAGGTTAATGGCACTGAAAAACCATCTAGAATAGGAAGAAGAGGTTGATCACAAGGCAGGACAAGCTGTGTGGCTCCCAGCCTCGCCACTGACTCACTCTGACCATGGTCAAGGGAGAATGAATCTTCGCTCCTCTTTTTTCCATCTGCCAGCATGTTTTTTCTTCGCTCTGGTGTTCCATTTAGTACACCATGCGTCTTTGTGTTAAATTGAGATATAATCCACATACCATACAATGCAGTATTATAATGGGTACAGTTCAGTATTGATTAGTATATTCACAGGGTTACATAGCAAACAATCACCATCATCTAACCCCAGAACATTTTCATCACCCCAAAGAGAAACATGGCACCCATTAGCCGTCACTCTCCACTGCTCTCTTCCCTCAGGCCCAGATAACTACTAATCTACTTTGAGTCCCTACGGATTTGCCTATTCCAGATCTTTCATATAAATGTATCATACAGTATATGGCCTTTTGTTTCTGGTTTCTTTTCACAAAGCATGTTGTTTTTAAGGTCCACCCATGGTGTAGCATGTATCATTCCTTTGCAAGGCTGAGTGATATTCCATTGTATGGAGACATCACTATGTCAGTTCATCTATTCATCACTTAGTGGACATTTGGGTTGTTTCCATTTTATTTTGGCTTTTATGAATATTGCTTCTATGGACATGCATGTACTAGTTCTTGTGTGGACATGTTTTTAATTCTAGGGTGCATCCCTAGCAGTAGAATTGCTAGATCATATGGCATCTCTTATATTTAACTTTCTGAGGAACTGCCAAACTGTTTTCCACAGTGGCTGCACCATTTTACTCTTCCACCAGCAATGTATGAGGGTTCCAGTTTCTCCATGTCTTTGTCAACACTGTCATTGTCTCTCTTCTCATTACAGCTGTCCCAGTGAGTGTAAAGTAGTGTCTCACTGTGGTTTTTGAGGGATGTTTCCCTAATGAGTTAAGATACTGAGCATTTTTTATGTGCATATGGGCCATTTATATAACTTATTTGAAGAAATGTTTTTTTCAAATCCTCTCCTCATGTAAAATATTGAGCTGTCTTTTTATGGAATTATAAGAATTCTGTGTGTCTTCTGGATACTCTGCATATTAGACCTAATCAGATAATTTGCCAATATTTTCTCTCATCCAGTGACTTCTGTGACTTTCATAAGAGTATTCTTTGATGTACAAAAGTTTTTAATTTTGATTAAAATCTAATTTATTTTTCCTTTGGTTGTTTGTATTTTGGTGTCATTTTTGTGTATAAAATGTTTTATTCTTTAAAAGGGATCAAGGTTTGGTTTTAAATCAGGCTGCATACCTTTCATCAGTCTGACATTCCTTTCACCATGTCAGGCTGGCTTCAGCTAGTAATACTTCATTAAATTCAAAAGAAAAAATTGTTTTAAAAGAAAAAAAAAATCCAGTTTGGAGAAGAAAAAACTATTGCCTAAGTTAAGGTCATGAGATTTACTCCCATGTTTTCTTCTAAGAGTCTTATCATTTTGGCTCTTATATTTAAGTATTTGACATATTTAGCTTTTATTTTTATAATGGTATGAGTATAGGGGGTCTACCTTCTTTATTTTGCATATAGATGTCCAGTTGTTCCAGCACCAATAAAAAGAAACAACATTATTTCCACCCCTGTCAAAAACCAATTTTCAGGGGTTTATTTCTGGGTTGTCAGTTCTATTCTGTTGATTTATCGGTCTGTCCACATTCTGGTTTCACACTGTGACTGCTGTAGATTTGATTTGAGTTTTGAAATTGGGACATTTGAGTCATCCCACTTTGTTATTTATTAAGATTATTTTTTCTATTTTGGGTGCCTCAAATTGCCATATAATTTTAGAATTAGCTTGTCACTTTCTGGAAAGAAGCTAGCTGGGATTTTGATAAGAACTGTGCTGACAATAGCAAAGACATGGAAAATGCCCATCAGTGGTAGACTGGATAAAGACAATGTGGTACATATACACCATGGAATACCATGGAGCCACAAAAAA